TGGCTACCCCAAAGCATCAATTACTTCAGGTAAATGAAGATTTTGCCTAATTCTAAGCAAGCATATTCTACTCAGGGTATTATGGCATGAATATACACCTTCAGTATCTGCCTGCTGCCCACCTTCTTGAGGGAAAAGTGAGTGTGTATTCTGCCTAACGGAGATCATTTACTGATATGTATAAACATTTCAAATTTAAGAGAATTTATTTGCAATTTTCAACAAGTGGTGAATTTCCCTTTAGCCAAATGTTGAACCGAGAGTAAAAGATTTGCCTCAAGTGAATAGCTTGTCTTCTAAACTTTCTCTACTGTAATATGGGAGCCAGGGGAGGTAAGTCCTCTATAGACCAAAAAGCAGGCCCCCTCCAAAACCTCATGGGGGATAAAACTTTTCAGGATCAAAGGCACACAGCACATAGTGAAATTTAGTTTCCCTGCTCTGCCCAAATTATATCTCTTAGGCCTCTAAAGAGTGAACCAGAAAATCAGATCGAGTATTAACCAGTTGTTTCCACATAGACTAAGTAAGGTGGACAGAATGGTAGTATTGCTCTTTTTAAATCTTTCAAATTGCTCAATGTGACTCCCTGTTGCCAGATTAAATACTTTCATTACAGAAATTGTCTGATAATTAAATTGGCAAAAATTCTGACTAAAAGACCAAAACATTCAGTTACTAAACAAATGAAAACTTAGAGTTTGCATTTAAGTACTTTTGAAAAGTATGTTTTACAATGTCGATTTACATTGCATTTGGGGGACAGAATCACCACCGATAAAAGTCTAACTCTAGCTGAGTTCCTGATATAGGTGTATTTAAAAATTCTCCAAGTATCCATAGTAACAACAAACAAAAAGCTTAATATATGTTATTTTGACATAACTGTGACATGTTTGATTCGATTTCCTTTGCCTTATCAACTCTAGTAGAAACATATAAGAAGTTATCATATTCGTTCTGATGTTGAAAGGGAAAAAAAAAGAACAAGTACTTTCTCTAAGAGGCTGCTTACTAATAAAACCATCCTGAGATCCCCAAAAACGCCAAATCCTAGAAAATTAATGGGATGCAGAGTTTAGCTACATAGGCACTAGGCTAAAATCCCAACCCTCTTATTTACATCTTCGGAGAAAATGAAGCTGAGAGTTTGAATATAAATATGCACTAGGGTACAAGAAATCAGTTATAGGTCAAGCAGGAACATCTGGTCTTTTTAAGAGTCCTGTTAATTTGAAAGCACTGACCATAACAAGCTCAGTTCCACCAAATATATTTTGGCGCAGCTCAGAAAAAATAGCATTTGCTGGAAGTATTTATTTCACCACAGCATGATTTATCAGTAATGATATGCAGTTCCCACTATTGGCATTTTGACATAACATGCAAACTTGCCTTCTACGCTTTTCCCCCAAATTTTACATGCTCATGGATCTTTTAGAAAACCCTTTTCATCTATATTCTTGAGAATATGTGAGAGAACGTGGTGGAAGGGATTTTAAATTATCTACATCTGATCTTAGGAGTTTGAATGTGAATAACTTATACATTCACTTATAGGAGGTTTTAATTAGCACACAACCACTAAGTGTATTAGTTACTCAGTCATGCTGGACTCTTTGCAACCCCATGGACTATAGCCCGCCAGGCTCCTCTCTATAGAATTCTCCAGCAAGAATACTGGAGTGGATTGCCATTCCCGTCTCCAGGGAATGTTCCCAACCCAGGAACTGAACCTGGGTCTCCTGCATCGTAGGCAGATTCTTTACCATATGAACCACCAGGATCCCTAGCCACTAAAGCACTGGGCAATTTATTTAGATGAGGTTATACCACAGCACTCTATAAATATTAAAACTTTTGTGTTCTCTCATAAGACACTGAAATTTTCCCAGCCTCTTATCCTATATCAGCTTCTCCTGGGAGTTTCCAGACGGCATGAGCTCTAGCACAGGGACCAGAAAGCCTGAGTTAAGTCCCAGCTGCCCAGTCTGCTGACCCCAGGAGCCCTGGACTGTTCTGATCCCAAGTTTTCTGCTGTCGTGAGAATCTCTAGAGAACAAGGGAGTCTCTGCCAACGGCACCGTTACTAATCTCCAACCTGCCTCCACTTCAAAGGTGGTTGATTTCATTTTTAAGTTCATTTGGGTTATTCCCTGGCCCCACAGCCCTTTAATTATTCAGCTATTTTAAATGCAAGGGGCCAGGGAAAAAACAAGAATCACTTGTTTATGCATTCAACATGCTTGAGGGCTTGCTACCACGGCACACTCACAACATGAGTGGGCACTCTATGTGCCAAGTACAAGGTTAAGTGCTTTTTAATGCATTTATTCGTGGACATCTGCAACAATTCCATGAGGATATTACTATTACTATTTTCACCAAGTTAAAACAAAAAGTAGAGGTTCTGGAGCCAACGTGCCTAAGTCTAAAACCTGCGTTGTCAGCTAGTTATATTACAAGTTAGTCCACTTCTTGGTGCTTCCTCTTCCCCATCAGTAAAACAGGCAGTGTTAACAGCACCCGGCTCCTGGGGTTCCTGTAAGACTGAGTTGATACAGGAGGCTCATTAGGCACTAGAAGTAGTCTTTGCCAGGACCTGGTGACAGATTGATCAACTTCCACAAGCCTTCACCACAAGCGGAGCTGAAGCTGAGACCTGAACCCAGTTCTGCTGGACTCTAAACAAGTGGTGAAAAACCCCACAGCTTCTCAGAAAAATAAGAAACAGAATACTGTCCAACTCTAAAAGAAGCATCAAAGGCACTCACTAATAAGGCATTTGAGACTGACGCTTAGCTTTCCCCTTTTCACCAGTGGAGTCATTTCCAGAGGCAGTAACTCGGGAACAAACTGGCGTCACTCTGCGTTAGGAGAGCGGGAAGTACCAGCAAGAACATTCCTGGCTGGCTTTGGCCACGGCAGCCGCCGCCACCCCCACCCTACCCCCTTACTCTGTCACTGGGACCGGCTCTTACTGCCCAGAATCTCAACTTTGCCTTCTGCAAAACTTCGTGAGGCCAAAGCCTGTCCACTGCGCTACGCCTTCCAGAAGCGGGCGTGGTGGGGCGAGAGGAGGACCTTGCCCTGCCCCCCGCGTCCAGACTCCTCACCCGGCTGCGGCCCTGGCCTCTGGCGCTCACCTATTTTCCCTCCACGGTAAATTGGCAGGTTTTTGATGTCACCCTGGCCTGGGGCCGCTCAGATACACATCACTCTTAAAAAAAAAAAAAAAAAAAACTGTGTGCTCTGCCTCGAAGCAACTTTAACGAGGCAGGGGGTCCCAGTCTGGAGGAGTGGCATTTGGTACCGGTGAGCGAGTTTGTGGAGTTGGCCGCAGTAAGAAGCCAAGCGTCCAGAAGACCCCGAGAGTTCTGGGCGATGGCCCTCCTCCACCTTCACTTCCTTCCCTCCATCCTTGGCCCCCCGTGTATCCGAAGCTCGCCCAGACCCTGGTCGCGGGCTGCCCGGCAGTTTAGGGCAGCCCGGCTGGGTGGGGCGGCGCAGGGCACCGCCTCCCTCCCTACCTTCTCTCCCCGTGGAGCACGTAGGAGCTGCGGAAGAAGCCCAGGAGCTCGTTCTCGATCAGGGCGTTGTAGATGATCTTCAGATTGTAATTCCTCTGCGCGTCCAGAGTCCTATTCAGCACCACCACCAGGACCTGGGTTTGCGGGTAGAGGAAAAAGCCGGCCACCGGGACCGCCCCGGCCACCCGGTCCTCGGCCACCTGCACCTTCTCGACCGCCACCCGGGAGGCGTGCAGCACGACGTAGCGAGTGGCGTTCCGGCACGCGATCTCCACGTTGACCTCCCCGGAGAAGGTGAAGTTCTCCATGAAGGCGGTGAGCATCAGATTGTAGTGCAGCGGCTTGAGGTGGCCGGACAGGCGCAGCTGCGTCCACGGCTGCCCCGGCTCGCGCTCCTCCCCAGACGGCGGCTGGGCGGACGGGGTCTCAGGGGTGGCCTCCGCGCCTGCCCCGGGCTGCGAGGAGTCCCCGCCGGCGTGCTGGTTCCGTCGGGCCGAGCCCGGAAGGCTCTCGTTGCCGCCGCGCGCCGGGAAGCCGGCCGGGCCGCCGTCGGCGCCGGACGGCACGCTCGCCCCACACTCGTCGAAGCGCAGGCTGAGGAGCACGGCGAGCATGGTGACCGCGAGCAGCGCCACGATGGACACGGCGAAGGCCAGCACCAGCCGCTTGTGCACCGTGATGTGGCGCTCCGAGGTGCGGGGCCGCACCCCCGCGGAGTCCGCCCACGGGCCCGAGAGCCCCCTGCCGCCGGCCCGGAGCGCCGCGTCGTTCTCGCCCATCGCGGCCGCGAAGAGGGAGCCGCTCTTCTGAGCCCCCTGCTCCTTCTTCTTCCTCTTCTTTTTCTTCTTCTTCTTTTTCTTCTCCTCCTCTTGTTTCCCCCGCTCGCCGTCTAGGGCCATCACACCGCCTCCTCCTCCTCCCCCGCCCCCTCGGGCGCCCCCCGCGAGCGGGCCACCCGGGCCACCGGCAGCGTCGGCATCAGAGCGCGCGCCGGCCGAGGGCGCGACGCCAGCTGGGACCCTAGGGAGACCGGCCGGGCGTCTCTTAAGACGGGCTCTGGCCGTAGGCGACAGCGCCCACGACGCCCCCCATCAGCCCCGCCTCTCTCCGGCACAGGCTGCAGGGGCGCGGGCCAGCGGGCTCTGGGACGCGCCCAACTTGGAGAGCGTCTTGCTCGCCCCAGAGCGCGCGCTACTTCTTCGGCGGGCGCCGGGCTCCGGGGCGCACGCGGCCCCCGCCCCTGTGTGCCCGCGGCTCCCAGCTCGCCGTCCCCAGCGCCGAGCTCTCGCCTGGCTTTCCGCGGGAGCCTTCTAGCGGGTCCTCGGCTGCCAAGGAGGGAGCGATGGAGAGGGAAGTTAGGGCTGCCGCTTTCTCTCCCCACTCCAGCGCCGGCGTTCAGTCCTCTGGGTGGGATGTGCTCGCAGCAGCGGCGGCGGCGGCGGCAGCGGAGGCGCCCGAGTCCCGAGCCCAGCAGCCGGGGACGGGAGGATGGCCGGGGCGGAAGAGACCGGGTGAAGCAGCTCAGTGAAGTCCCAGGGCCGCAGAGCTGGGCCGGGAATCTGTCCGGGAGAAGCCTTCTCCTCCAGCCTGGACACTTTAAGCAGCGGTGGCGGCAAACAGCGCGAGGCTGCACCGCGGGCAGCGAGCCTTCCTGGTCCCGACGTTGTGCTGACCTCCGGAGACGACAAGTGAGCAAGAAGTGTCCGGCCGGGCCATCCCCCTAAGGTAGATGACGCTCCGGGTTTGCTCTACATGCCCGTGGGGAGAGCCGGAGTGCGTGTGTGCGAGTGAGTGTGCATGTGTGTGCGCGTGTGTGTGCGTGAGCGTGTGTACACAGGCTCCAGATCTAGATTGCCAAAGCTACTCTGGCTGCGCTCAGGGACTGAAACTCCCCGAGAAAGGCAACGGCGAGAGCGCGGAGGCCGGAACGGCGGGAGGGAGGGGAGCGGCAGAGGCCGGCCCTGGGAGATTAGAGAGCTTTTCTCCGCTCTGTCACACCAGACACCCACAGCCACAGAGGGGGTTGCTGCGCCGCCTGCGAGGAGTGCGGTCAATCTTCAGCGCAACGAGCCCCGCAGTCCCCCTCTTCCCGACCCTTCAGCCCCACCGCGCCTTCCCGGAGGGAGCCTTGGAGCCTTTGGCTATGAATGCCTAGAGGCCAAGGAAGAGCCTGCTTGGGAGAAGAAGCGGTCTCAGATTTCACATCAAGCTCACCGGAGGATTTGGAGGATTGTATGTAAATTGAAATAAATTCTCCAAAGCCTGACAACATGTACTATACTGTGTGATGTGTCCAGGCGTGCGGTATTAAAATAAGGGTTAGCAAGAAAGCGTTAGACTCCTCCGGAAGTGAAGGCTGCAGAAAAGGGATGGCTTTTTTCCAGCAAATATATTTTCGGATTGAGGAAATACTTAAAATATTCAAGTGTAATATTCAGGACCAGAAACTTGAGACTGAGAAAAGCTGAGGACATGAGCTCCATTACTTTGGACTTAGAATAGTAACCAGGGATATTCTGTGATTGGACAGTTTTTCACTTCACCTGGTCACAATTACTTTTTTTTTTTTTTTTGCTGTTTTCAGTGTTACCATGAAAATCGTTTAAAATGTTTTTAGAACAGTTATCAATAGGAAGTGTCCCTCCACAGCAGTATCTCAGAACAGATTCACAGACCACTGGCTGGTTATGGATTCTTGTCTAAGTTTGTTGAAGTTTTAAATTAGAGTGCAGAATGTGTATGGGTATAGGAGATATCTAAGCCATAGAATTTAGGTGAAGAGCTCTAATTGGAACACTATTCAGAGTACAGCCACCCCAACGTTCACAGCTTAGAGGCAGGAGTTTTTCTCTAGTTTTCAATGAAACAAAGTGATGGGCTTCAGAGTCAATTTTGAAAAGTGCAGAATAAAAAGAAAATGAAGTAATTTCTTTTTACACATTTCTTTCACATCTTCAAATCCCAAAGGCATTTTAAAAAATCATGTCCCTAATTATTTTTTTACAAAAAGGAATCAGGCTTTGGAGTCCTGAACGAACACATTAAAATCTTGTGTTTGGCTTTAAAAACATGACCAAAGAGAACACCCCAAATATGTATCAACTTCAGCCTGAAAACCACTGAAAACACAGCCCTCTGTTCAATGAAGCTCTTTACCATTTATACTCAGATGGGATACATTCCCAATGCCATACATTCTGAATGTCCATTTGAATCATTTTAAATGATGATAAAAAGTAGTGCCAGAGTTTTTGTTGCTTTTTTTTAAAGCATGTTTTATGTGGGCCGTTAACAACAGACCAAGGGAAATGCCACAGTCTGTTCAAGTTACTTTTTTATGCTCTGTTTTTAAATCTCTGTGCTCTTGCTGTCCATATGTATCTGCCTGTGTGCATTTTAAGAATTGAGGAGTCCACGGTTTGTTAGTTTGTTTTCACAGACTCAGGAAACATAGTATAGGCAGACTCAAAGAGCTGTGTGACTCTTAGCAGCTTACCAAACTTCTCCGACCTTAGGGTACTAACCCATAGTTCAGGATTATTGATCAAAAGTCCATGGACACAACTCACTTGAATTATAAGAGGAATCTGGAACCACCCCCTAGAAGTCTGAGAACCACTGCCTCAATGAAGATGTTACCCACTAAAGAATCTTTAAATGATATTAGTCAAGAAAAGATTCAAAGAAGGTTCTTTCTGTTCTTCTTTGTATTTTATCTGTGTACTTTTGAAAATCTCTGCAAGGTAACTCTTGAGGATTTCAGAATTAAAGAATACATTCACCAACTAGTAAAGTCTCAACTGGCTATGATTAAATTAGTGGATGGGTTATTTCTGAGACCTAAGTTGAGCAGACATGAGCGCCTTAACCTGTAGTGAACACAATTTATGAAACACTGATTCCCCTAAAATGCAACTTTACCCAGTAAATGCAATATCAAGGTCAAGTGGGTAAATATTTCTTCCTTTCACATGGATGTTACAAAAGGGCCCCAGCGAACTTTTCTCTTGTTAATTTCTGAAAGTATATAACCTACCACTGAGAAGTAAATAACTTTGGTATAGTAACCTTTTTAATGTTATTTTTTAGAGAATATCTATTCTACCTTCCTCAAACCAAAACCAAAAAAGACAAAATTTCAGAGAGTGTACCTAACAAAAATCTTGGAGATGATTCACTAATATTCCTGTAAAGAAGTTGCCTTCAGTGTGTAAGTGACTAAATTGGAGAGAATTTGACTTTGTCAGTGTTAGAGCCGTGCAGGAGAATAAGACTTTCCAAAGTGCCTGATGCTCTTCCCAGAAACACATTCATCATTCGTGATAAATTTGGTAAATTTATTATTATTGGATAATTTATGATGATTTTCTTTAGTTAATAAGTGTCTTTCAAGTCATTTTGTGGCCATATTTGATTTTTCTTTTTGTGAATTAATTTATTTTTTTTTCCATTTATTTTTATTAGTTGGAGGCTAATTACTTTACATCATTACAGTAGTTTTTGTCATACATTGAAATGAATTAGCCATGGATTTACATGTATTCCCCATCCCGGCCATATTTGATTTAGAGGCTTGTAAAATTGAAAACTGTCTGAATGTTTAATATCCATAAGTCCAAACAGAAGTTATTAACTAAATCTACACCCAGGTTCCTTGATTAATCAAACTGAACTATTTTCAGTGAATGCACTGGCTTCAGAGGCTTTTTACTCTTTGATTGTTTACACTTGAACTGCTTTTTCTCTCTTCCCACTGGTTTGTATGTAGAGGCACAACTGAAGTGTCATTTTTATACTCAGCCCCTTCAAGTGTAATTAGCACTTCACTTTCAGAAACAGCTTGGCTCAGCAGAAAGAACAAGATCCGAACCTGCTCCCCCCTCCCTACCTTATCCTAACCGACCTCACTGCCTCAGTTTCTCCATAGGTTCGTGTACAGGACTTAGATGGACTAGGTAACCTCCGTGATCTCATCCAGCTCTCAAAATCTGTAAAAGAAGTTCCAAAGTTGAAACACTAATTTCTTTATGCTATCAGGGATTTTTGATTAATCTTCTCCATTGAGAAGCAAAAAAGAAAAAAAAATTAACTATAAACTGTAAATTCAATGAGTCACAAGCCTTGATAAAAATACACTGTACTAGTTAAAGCACATGAAAAGAAGAAAACAGGCCCTGCTACTCTGGCAGGGAAAACAGGACTGATCTGTTTTCTGAACGGCTGCGGCCCTGAAGACCTTCCACACCTGGAGACCAGAGCTACCTTGAACGGTGCGGAGCTCTGCTCCCAGCTGAAGTGGTGCCGCCACGTGCCCCCAAACCTGGCTTGAGACCGAGATGGTGATAACTTGATGAATTTTTTAATTTGGGAAAAACAATATTGCAAACTTTATTAATATTTTTATACTACATAACTTCAGTTTTTCATACCACTTGATCACTGCATCCGTTAAAGGGTAACATGTAAGAAACACCCTTCAAGATAAAACTTTCCTCAAGAATCTTAGCAATGGAAAGAGGAGGACTGTTTAAAATTAGCCGTAATTGAAACAGTGCAGTTTCATAATGTTCACTAACTACAATTAACACCTTGATTTAATTGCTGGTTATCTGATGTATGTTTATTTAAAAAGATTAATCTGAATTGATATCATATTTAAATTTGACTGTGTCTTCTTTACTCACATAAAATCTGTAAAATTATAAAGTTGTTTTAAGAGGAAAACATTCCCTAACCTGTTAATGTATTACTACATGTTATTAGGCCAAGAATCTCATAATTATGCTTACAACTAAACAGAACAAGTCTTACAGAGTCGGACACTACTGAAGTGACTTAGCACGCATGCATGCACATGCCATAGAAACCTTACCTCTTGAAGGCATTAATAAATATATCTCTGATCCAAGCTTATGTGACAATTCAAATTTACATGATCAGAATAGTGTCTCACCTCTTTTTTTTTTTAATATTCTATACTTTATTTTTTTTTTTTTTGGCTAATTACTTTACAATATTGTAGTGGTTTTTGTCATACATTGACTTGAATCAGCCATGGATTTACATGTCACTTCTTTTAAACCATGAAAAATATTTGAAGAATGTATACTATTTAGATATTAATGTAAAGTCACATAAAGACAGAAATATCCTATTGTATTTCTTCCATATGTATCTTCTAATCCAGTTTATTTCTCTTTTCCACTCATTTGTTCACTCTTCTTCCATTTAATAATAAAGCATATTATGTCTTAAAACCTGTACCTACTAGACATACACAGATAGACATTTGTTTGATATATAAATGTTTGTCACTATTGCTCTTTAAATGAGGTAATTACATAGTGTATTATACACCTGAAAGTTGCTAAGAGACTAGATCTTAAAATGTTCTCACTACAAAATGAAATTATTATGTGACAGTGACAGAGGTATTAGCTAATGCTACAGTATCATATTACAAATCACAATATATAGGTGTAGTGGGGTTCCCTGGTGGCGCAGGCAGTCACCTGAATCTGAGTGCAATTCAGGAGACCTAGGTTTGATCCTTGGGTTAGGAAGATCTCCTGGAGAAGGGAATGGCTACCCACTCCAGTATTCTTGCCTGGAGAATCCCACGAACAGAGAAGCCTAGCGGGCTACAGACCTTGGGTCGCAAAGAGTCAGACCCAACTGTGTGACTAACACTTTAACTTTCACATACACCTTAAACTTATGTACATTAAACTTACAATGTTAGTGCATCAATTAAATCTTAATTTAAAATGAAATAAAAATAAAATAAAATTAATTCATTAAATGAGGTAATTAGAATATTTTCTTAAATTTGAGTAGCGAATGGTGGTTGTAAATGGATTGATAAAGAAATTAGGATAAATAGGGTGAAGTGTTTCTCTATAAGATAATGAAATGTCACTAATCTTGAGGTCATACATAAGGTTTTGAAAGCTGATCCAGATCTACAGTATCTTTTATTTTTAATCATATGCATAGGACATACTTATAATGAGTCAGTATTCTAGTCAAAGATGCAAGCATTTCTGAGTAAGAAATATATCTTCTGTTAGAAAATATTTCACAACTATATAGTATGCATATTATACAATAACAGTAAAAATTTAAATTGTTTCTTGACTCATTAAATTCCTACTTTGAAACCAAGGGAAAAAATAGCCAAATCATAGTATTTCCTTTCAAATTTTAGACCTGTGGATGAATAACATTATCTCTTAATCATGAACTGAAGAATAGCCTCTTTGAGGG